CCGGGAGATCCTGCTGCGCGTGGCGGCGTCGTCGGCGTCGTGCGCGTCGGCCGTGCGCGCCCTCGCGCCGAGCCAGCGCCGCTGCGTCTTCCCGCACGAGCGCCCGCTCGCGCTCTTCCCCGTCTACTCGCCCGTCAACTGCCGCGCCGAGTGCCGCGCGCGCCTGCTGCGCCGCCACTGCAACTGCACGCCCTACTACTTCCCCGTCCCAGGCGAGCCCCGCGCGCTCTCAAGGCGAACCCATTCACAAGGCACACGTGACACATACGCATACAGCGCATAGACATAAACATTAACTAAAGTAATAGACTGAAGAATTCACAATGTCTAACACAAACAAGCAAAAAAGAGTTTATATTGGCTGTGAGACTGAGTTCTGGTTTACTATTGGTTGGATGTGAGAATCGACTTCAGAGTATGGACCATCGACTGTGTCCATGGCCCATATGGCGGTAGTTCTATCGTTGTCGCTCCAATTTCGATTCTCGATTTTTAGTTACTGTTCTGTGATTGGTTCATTTCTTATGCCTTACTTAAGCATAAGCACAGAAGCTTGAAGCTTGCAAGCTTTTACGTTAACGTCTTCTGTGTTATGCTTATGCGAGCGCATCGTGAATGAGTCTGCTTATGTCCTAACGTCTATATCAACGCCATGCTTATGTTTATGTTTGCATTGTAAATGGGCCTTCATGCGCTGATGGCTGTTTCGTGTTTTCGTATAAATGCGTTACCGGTGCAAAAAGATGATCTGAATTTAATCTCAGAGTATATTGATTGATTATCTCGTGTTTCCGGGCACGTGAACTGCTAACGATCATTAGTCGCGTAAGTGTAGAGCATGTGTTCCTCGAGAGGTGGCGGTGATATTTCCCCGCTGGAAAATGAAATCCAGCGTCAACTCGTAGGATAGATGGGGTTTCCCCAACCAGGTATTTCCCACCACCAGGGCATCGCCCCAGCCGGGACAAGCTCTATGTGCAGCTGTACGCGAGCGTTGCGTTGACGCGCGGTAAGTCACGCATGCCGTACAATAACACTGTATTTTATGCCAAAAGGGATTAGCGTATTGGTTGTTTTGCATGGCGTTCAACATAACGCTCGTGTGACACAGCCCTAAGGTCCCGTCTGGTCTTCAGTAGTATACGGTCGTGTAGTGCATGTGAGTGTATAAATAAGTGGTGAGGGCAAGGGAAGGAAGAGGAAGGAAAAATGGCGCGAGGTCCTTGTCCCGTTTGTGAGGGTACTACTCCGGCATTTGCGAAGCATTGATCAGAGAAACCACCCACTAGTATTATCCTCTAGACAACGAATGAATTCAACCTGGCTATTTAGCCAGAGTCGAGAAACCTGCCACCGTCGGGCTCAGAATACAGCAATATCGATAAACTCCCAGTATGGCTTACTTGTCTTCGCATTTGTTATCTTATGCTATTAGTTTGGAGACAGCAGTGATCGCTGTTTGAAAACTATTCCATTAACTCACCACCTAAATATTGGCCGCATGATGATGTTTAATAGGGAACAAGATATTTACCGCGACGAAGAGAGCGCAACGTACTCAATATTATACGTAGATTACGAATATCATTATAAAAATATATCACATAGCGGTTTTTAAATATACTGTATCTTTACGTCGTATCATCCCGTATTTTGCTCTTAATAACTACATTTAAATTGCACTTGTACGATATTTAGAATCTATACGAATAAAATCTATTTCAAAATAACAAATTTAAGCTTTCGATGGACGAAAATACCACTCGTGTAATAAGAGTAAGTTTTTAATAAAGTTTATCACAGAATTAAAGTAGTTTCTGTTGTACGTTTCGCTGATTATTTCGTAAGAAAACGTCGAGTATTTAAGGAAAAAACGAGTATTGAAGGGAAATACGAATGATATTGACAATTTTGAATGGGGGCCCAGTATCCTAATGAAACTTTTTATTTCTGACAATATGTTCAAAATCCGATTTACCCCTTTTTTAACCTGACAATTTTCAGAATTGTTATACATTTCGGAAAGAGACTGTCCATTCTCCTGGCAACGCTGCAAGAGGTCCAATACGAAATCAATTAAATTTAAGTACACGATTAAAGATAGAATTTCAGTCTCATTGTATGTTTTTTTACTTATAAGAAGTTCTATAAATTGCAATGGCGCACCCAAGGGGATGGGTGCTCCTGAGGTTTCAGCCCGCCCTAACAAGAAGCCAACGATAATATTAATGATAATATTATGTCAATGGCAGTGCTTCCAATGTGTGTCCGAGAATGTAGAAAGTATTTTCTGATATGCCTAACACTGCATTAGTAATAAAAAAGTTTTTATTGGAACATATGGCCGTGAATAATTTCATTTTGCCACTATTCTAGGCAAAGTAAAAAAATATTTACATAATTAATGTAAAAATATTTTAACCATTCAAGGTTTTATTTAATGTTAATGTATGAATATATAATAAAATACTTTCGGTGTATACTTCGTAGGAAAACTAAAATTTATTTTTTCTTTTTGTGCAGGGAATACCAGAGTTTGTGATATCGATGACTACATTTGCCTGCGTAACCACTATTGTAAGTATACCGATTATAAATTAAGTATCACAAGGAGAACATTTGTACAAACTTTTGCTCAATCTTTGAAAAACCTAATAATTACAACAAGTACAATTATTATCACTACAATGTTGGAATTAATAACATGTTTTAATTCAGGGATCACTGGATAACATGTTTTGTTACTTGTTAATGATGATGGCAAAAGTTAATTGAAACAATTATTAATCGATTAATTGGAAGGGAATATCGATTAATGGAATGATTTTTTTGTTTTAATTAATCGATTTCAATTAAATATAAAAAAAACAATACATTTCTTTAAGAATTGAAACTTTTTAATTGAGTACGTTCTTGAAGTAGGACTTAGAATTGATAGTTTTCTTTTTACTCTGCGTTTCACTAAGTCAAAAACTAAAACTTTCAGTAAGTTAAAAATTAGATTTCTTTTCCGAACTCGACGGCCGTGGTCTAGTGGAAATCGTGTTTCCAGACGTTTCGTCTGCAAGTGCGGCAGTGGCGGAGTGGTCATGGAACAAATATCCTTTAGACGGCTCGTAGGTGACTGACGAAGACGCTCCTTTTTAGATTTGCTCCTCTCCAGTATCCCTGCCGAGACAGGAATCTATTTAGAAGACACTGTTTTTCATTTTTCCCTGTCCAGTAGCCCTAGAGAAGCTGGAGTTCAAGCGTATAACAGATTGCTAATCGTACGGAAGGTCTCTACAGTTGAAAATACAGTTATTTTGTAAATAATTAACAGCGGCCGTCCATGCAGGAGTGGCGGCGTCCATCGGAAGATTTACCGTGGAGTCGTTCTTGGTGCTTTCCGTTGATATCGGGGTGGGTGCATGGCACAATTCGGGTGTTGGTGCTCTGTTGAGTGGTCCGCTCAGCGCCGCAAGAACATAGAATCCTAGGAAAGCCTCCTTCTGACGATAGTGGAACTCTGGTATGCTTAGCCAGTCAAAACACCGGGAGAGATGGCTCACGGCATCAACTGATGTCACTGCAGTCATGCACTGATGTCACTGCCTCTGACAGCGAGGTTCTAGGGTTTGTCCGGGGGGCCCTCGGGTCTGATCAGACGTTTTCCGTGGTTTCTCCGATCAACAACAGGCAAATGCCGGAACAGTACCCTAATAAACGGGCCACGGACAACGCGAACTTTCCTTACTCTTCCTTACCCCTTACTTACACACTCTTACACTCACATCACTGCACTTCCACACATGCCGGGAGACCGGTCGGGAGCTTAAAACTTGGTGCCCCTAGGTGGGACATTCCTGGTTGAGGGAAACTCTGCTAGTCGACGGTAGGTCGGCGCCCGATCTCACTAACCACCGGGGGAAATATCACCGCCACTACCAGAGCAAAAAACATGAATTACACGTACGGGACTAACGACCTCAGTAGTTGACACGCTTCGAATCACTAACAACCAACCAAGCAATCGTAATACGTTGTACAACTATGTTGTAGTGTTGAAAATGTTCTTGATGTCATATTTTTATGCATTTTTCCTATACGCTCTGTAATGCAATTCAAGTGCGGTAGGATGATTTTCCGTCTTTGCATGTTTTGCGTTCCAGCAAGTGCACTTTTATTCGGGTGGAGAGCTGTCTTGACTTCCGCAGAAGAGTATCCGTTAGCTTGTAGAGCTCCGTCAAAGTGACTGAGTTCCTCGTGTATGTTGGATGGTTCACATAAACATGTCGCGATAGAAGAGGGTTTTCATCATATCTCTCCTCTGGCTTGGGCGATGGTTTGAAAGTTTATTCAAATACCTCTCCGTGTATCTTGTTTTTGGTACATCTTGTGTCCAAGAGAACTGAATACCCTTTAGCTCATCACCACATCTAAAAAAAGTCAGTTTTCCGTCACGTTATTTTTCCATCGTGAAATGGATACGAGGGTTGATACTATTTAGGTGGGTGGGTCGTTGAGGGTATCTTCTTCGTGACTCCATACGGTGAAGGTTTCGTCGATATAACAAAACCAGTGCGTGGGTTAATGGGGCGTGGTGTTCAGGGCTTTATCTATACGTTTACGACGACCGAGCTAAGGGAGTTGCCCTTGGTGGCATCATCCTTTTGTTCATATAACTTCACACATAAAATATGCGGTAGTGAGCATGTTTGAACAATATCGGGAATGTATTCTGCAATAACGCTGAAGTATCACTGACTAGCATCATCTTTACATGAGAAACAACGTGGAAGTTGATGAGAAAGTCTTTTATTCATATGATGACTGTTTTAAATTTCTCAATAATACTTTGATGAAAGAGTCAGTCTTACCGAATATTCAGAATATTGCAGAAATATTTGGAGACAGTACGTAGGAGAGCGAATGTCGCAGACTATAGGGAGTGACGGAACTTCTGCTTTGTGGATTTTTGGAAGTTCATCGAGTCTAGATGTCAATGTTTCTTATTTTTTATCTTACGATGTTCTTCTTTAGGGATAGAAGACGCCTTAAGAAATTAGTTGGTGCAGCGTAATATCCGAGCAGTTGGATATCAAAGAAGCTTGGAGTATATCTCTGGGTCTAAAATGTCCTTCACTTTCTCCTGGAATCCAGCAGTGTTAAGGACCACCGTTGCATTCGCTTTGCCGAGAAAATGAGAATATACTTGTTGCTGTTTAAGTCTCTCTGCGCTGTCTTATCCGTGATGGTAAAGTTGCTCTTTGGGGATTTGGCCCTGTGTAGAATCCTAGTTGACTCTCGTTGAAATTAAACCGAATACTAACACGGAAAATACAGCGCTATTTGGAATAGCTTACTTGAAGCTTTTCCACCTTTCTCTCAAGAAAAAAAGAAAATTTGTTCTATTAATCCGGAAACGATCGACGCTTCTCTGTAATGACGTTTTTTTTATTTTGCTAGATACTATCACTGCTCAGTTTCGGACGCTAGATTGCTTTCACACTATTAAAATACATTAATCCTAAACTCACATTGCATCCAAGCATTTTCCTTCAGAGCAATCGTGTGATGCTGGTCTGACCTTTTATAGGACCGAATCAGATTGTTGTTCATTCTCATCTACATTGCTGTAGCTGAGCTCAGGGGCCTTACCCTATGAATTGACGTCATATTATACCTTTAGATAATGTCACAACGCAGCGTATGCGTCCTCCAGCGTTTTCTGAGAAATGTGGGAGCCAAAAGATCAGTTGTATTTTGCAATGCGTGTTTAAATATAATATTTAATAATGCAGGCCGCAGAGAGGCTGCAACGGGCGCGGGTTTTCCCCCGCTGGGCTTGATCTATCCACCAATCCGAGGTTGCATCGTGAGTATTGTTTGCAGCACACATTGTCGCTGCTGTTAGCAAAGAACTCAATTGATTGTGGTAATGCCGCTTGTACCGTACACAATACAAGACAATTGAATACACCCGATAATTCTGGTGGAGTATTAGGGAGTTTTGACACGGGGAAGAGATGTAGGAATAAACAGCAATGACGATGTCAATAGTCGGTCAAGTCGAGAGAGAGAGAGAGGGAGAGAGGGAGAGAGGGAGAGAGAGAGAGAGAGAGAGAGAGAGAGGGGGGGTTGCACAAACGATTAGGTCAAAATAGAAGAAGTTCTAAACTATGTTGTCAGTGTGCGTTAAATTCCCCTAATGCCACTTCCGTTCATTCGCATTTCTTCTCTAGAGCTGCTCAGCATGCACTAATATGGATATTATATAATTATTATAAAATTAAATAGAATACCACATGTAGAGATAACTATACTGGAATATATGACACAATTTCATTTTGTCTAATGGGAATACACTGGTCGCATCGAACTGTGCTGCCAGAGTTGAGAAAAAATTGATATAGCAAGAGCGAGTGATCAATTAGGGCAGAGGCTCAAAAATGCAGTCGATTGCTGAACGCTATGTCGTGCCAAAACCCCTTATTAATTGCCAATATAACTCTATCTTAATGCTAGAATTCAAGCATATGCAGAGGCTCCAAAGTAATTGCGTACCATACGCGATATCTTCATTTTATTTATCTTCATAAAAAAACAACAAATCTTTGTGACGTGCGGGGCAGAAGTATAATCTGCTCACGTTAATTGAGCACCAGACTCTTATAGTACACACAGCTAAATGTCCAATAAAAATAACAAACGTGGTTAGAAACACTTGAAAATTCAAAATTTTCGCTCCCGAGTAATAGAAAATTTATTTGCATCGCTAAACGAACGACAGATTTGAATTGCTTTTGACCTTCCTTCAGTGTGTATGAACCCTGTGTGGGCTACCATCTCCATGCATCGTTAACTTTTACCGGGAGGATAAATCCCCAATGTGGACACCTAGACATACTCGCTTTATTCTCTCTCCCCGTGGCTGACATGCCCGTTTGGGTATAGGCGACTTTGAGTCCTGCAGAAACGCAATTATCACTCTCGGAAACCTCCCTATACAATTTTTGGAAGAGGCCTCCTTGGAGCTATTTGCTTTCCACCGTTGGTACCAAAGTTGAATCAATGCGCCGGGTCAAGTCTCCCCTCTATGCAGAGAGTATGGGACCACGACAAAGCGAAGTGCCCAACTGCGTGTCCCTGGGTCAAAGCCCAGGGGGCCCGTGGCCCCCAATACGTCTCCATACAGCCTCTATCTTGAAGCTATCGACGTGAGTACCGCCGCAACCTAGGCAATCCTGACAGAGGGGTTCATGCTTACTGTCAGGACTATTATATGAGGATTAGAGATCCGCCCCTCTACTGCACACAGGATGGCGGCTATCGAAATCCCACGCCCAATCCCGCCCAAAGGGTGGTGGCGAACCACCACCGCCTCACTACCTCCACCTTGAAGCTAACGACGTGAGTGACGCCGAGAGACACAGGCACCGGGTTTATTTCTCTTAAAGCCTCAGATCTTACGACCGTCTGCTCCCTCCCTCCACCACTGCGGGGTGTGGGCAAAATCACCGTTAATTTCTTTGTCTCCCGCCCCGCGTTCACGGGCCGTGTTGTGCGCATGCGCAGACTCGCTGCACGCGCGGCGCGCCGGGGAGATGCGCGTGGGCGGCGCGCCGGACGACGGGCAGGAGGGGGAGGAGCGGCAGCAGCAGCAGCAGCGAAAGGAGGACACGGGCGAGGACGAGGGCGAGGACACGTGCATCTGCCCGCCGCTGTGCGACGAGGTCACCTACGACGTGCACTTCTCCAGCGGCGACCTCCGTGCCACGCAGTTCCAGCGCTCCACGTTCTTGTGAGTGCTCGCCTTCCAGCACGTCGCTAAGCTAGCCTCCCCACCCACACACAGTCGCACTTCATCGAAACTCAAACATCCTGCGCCTTAATTTTGGACTAATTGAAGATAACAACAAACGATGGACTACCTCAGCAAACTAGAAATTTATATTTCGAAATGGAATCCGAAGAGTAAGCACTCATTTTTCTAAAGTAAAAAAATATTTATAACATTGAAATAACACGATCTTGAGACACTTTTCAAAATTTAGAAACTCACCCCAACAGTAAAGGGGAAAAATGCTACTTCACTTTCTCTTATTTCAAAAATGTCTGCTTTTTAATATTGGGCCACTTTTTTGCTACATGAGAATACCGCTATGGAAAATTCGCTTCTTTCAATAGTGTAAATACTTTTGACTTGAGGAAATACGGTAGCTAGAAATACTAGCCCCATTTTGACATGACATTCTAAATTTTGTTATGAAGGTGATATTCCGACCATTTGTCTTTAATAAACCCAGAATTTTGGCGCGAAATAGGTTTGAGTTTTGAGAAGGCAGGTTGTTTTTTTTCCAATGTTCTTCTGCAGCCCGATCTTCTATATTGGGGACACTTCCGTTCTGGAGTTAGTCATGTGAGTGCTTGCCTCCTCTTCTCTCACATTCCTTGTCAAGGGTGTCAGACTTCCAACAGCCTGAACATTTTTCTTGAGTGATAGCCTTCAGACGATCTCACATTGTTTCTTATGATAACAGTTACAGCGCGATTGGCGAAGGCTATACATACACAGCTTCCCAAATCCTCCACATGCTCTCGCATCTCCTCTAGGCTGCTTCCAGCAAATGTTTTCTTCCTTGTTAGTGCATGACTACCAGTAGTATTTCTTTTCGTCCAGCACTACTTTCGTCCTTCCCGCGCTATTTTCTACCATCTAGCACTATTTCCTTCCAGAACAATTTTCTTCCTTCCAGAACAATTTTCTTCCTTCCAGTACAATTTTCTTCCTTCCAGTACAATTTTCTTCCTGCCAGTACAATTTTCTTCCTGCCAGTACAATTTTCTTCCTGCCAGTACAATTTTCTTCCTTCCAGTACAATTTTCTTCCTTCCAGCGCTATTTTCTTCTTTTCCAGCGCTGTTTTCTTCCTTTCCAGCGCTGTTTTCTTCCTTTCCAGCGCTGTTTTCTTCCTTTCCAGCGCTGTTTTCTTCCTTTCCAGAGCTGTTTTCTTCTTTTCAGCACTGTTTTCTTCTTTTCAGCATTTATTTCTTTCCAACACAATTTCCTTCAAAGTAAGTGCGTGTCTTCCAGCACTTTCCTTTTGGGTGTGTCTGACATCTAGAGCTAATAGATTATGTTTAAATTGGTTAAGTGGCACTAGTATTACTAAACCTTTCAAATTGATTTTGCTTTCTCTTTTCGAATTAATTTTTAATTAAAAATGTATCTTTATTTCAGTACCGACCTCAACATGACTGGTCGCATTTTATTTCATTTCTATTTTGGGAACCATGTGACGATCCGCACTCGTCGTGACGTCATCAGTTCTTGGAACGATCTTCTATGTAAGCATTTCATTTATCATTATTGTTGAGCTTGTGGATGGTCACTTACGTATGATCTTATAGAAGGAAGCATTTTGTCACAAGTGTGTTACTGCGTTTCCGTGCTTTGTTGGACAATTTTATTGACGAGTAATTAATTGGTCGCCAGGGATAATTGTGTCAACATTCTTATTTTAAAGCTAAGAAATATTTCAATAGAATTCTGCATGCCCTCTCAAAGCCGAATATGAAAGTTTGTGCATTTACAATGGAAATAATGTCAATGGAATAATCTTCGTGGTTTTAGCGATGCCCTGTCATTATTGCTGTTGAGCAATCGCAAATGGACCAAGCAATACAAGTACTGGAAGGGCTGGTCAGCATATGTTGATCTCAACTAGGGATGCGGCATCGATACCAGTGTTTCAAAAACCACATAAAGTTTTAAAGATCCATAGAATAAAATCAATGTGTTTTTAACTTCGATGTTTCGCTTGATATTTTACGTTTTCGATACTTTGATTGTGAATGAAAAATGTTAATAATCACAAATTCATAAAGTTAAAATGTGAAGTAACTGATACCACTGTCAGTCAATGCACTCGAACGAAGCAAAAGCTGTTTATATTACCTTCATCGGACGGGCCATCTCTCCCGCGAGAGATGGCCCCGATGCCCTAGGATTTTCTACGCCTTTCTTCGCGTTTCGCACGCGAAGAGGCGGCCAACGCGTGTGCAGCAGGCCCAAGTAGGGCTTACCTCTTCTCCCCACACTCTTCTGCAGTGAACTGAGGAAGTCCTTACCCCCTGGGCGTTCAGGCTTTTGTGCTGTTTTGGTAATTGTTCTTATTTTTTTAATTTGTTTTATAAGTTAAAACTTAACTATAAATTAATAAACATGATCCCTGTCAAATTAAAGTCTATTCCGCGTGAACGTAAATGTTAGAGGATACTGAACCATTTTTGAAAGCATCGATGGACTTTGGGCGGTGTATTATTGCATTGATGTTTTAATTTTGAACATTAAAACTTTGAAACTTCGCTGTTTTGTTGTCGATGACGCGTCCCTAGACTCAACAGTGACCTATAACAACTCTGAGAGTATTGTAACAATTCGTTTTGTTCTTAATTAGAAGATTAGTGGCGTAGCTTCCTATTAGGCTGCAAGGCAAAGAGTACTCAGTTTACGGAAACTATAAAAATTGCTTCTGTTACCCTACAATGTGTTTATTGATACATTTCCTACGCCCAGTTACCATGTGCGCCGTCTTCTCTGTATGTCGTGCCCTTTGTAATCGAAGCCGGTGTTCCTCCGGCAGCGTCGCTGGGCGGCGTGTTCAGCCTCTTCCTGGGCTGCAGCTTCATGAGCCTCATCGAGATGGTGTACTTCTTCACGCTGCATCTGGCGCTGCGGTACCGCCGCTTGGCGGTCCACGCCCACGCCTACGACGACGACGGCGACGACGACGACCACGGCGGTGGTGGCGGCGACGGTCGGCTCAAAGAGAGCCCGCTGCACCCGGCTCTGCGCCCGCTGCACCTTCAGTTGCAGCTCGGGGCGCGGCCCCTTCGCCCGCCCTACGGCGCGCGCCCCCACCGCGGCTCGTAGCGCTCCTTCACAACGAGAACGCTGACGTGACGACGTAAACCTCAAGACTCATGGATGTAAAGGTGTCTCGGAAAATCTTGCACAAACCATGCGGATTTTGTCATTGAACTCCTGGGTCTAAGAGGGCGGGGCTCGGCTCTAGGCTGTGGTAAAAACGCTCCTCTCCCTGCGAGGTCGGTGTTTAATCGCTCACTTGAGTTATATTAAGGTCTACGAGAGGAATATGGCAGAACTGACGGTCACAAACGTTGCTGAAGGAGACGTCAAAGACCGTACGTTTCAAGGAGAGGGGCTGGAAATGTGTTCAAGATTTAAATATTCTGATTATCTGTTATAATGTGTAACGCTGATACCATATTAATTTACGACCGCATGTCCTGCGTTTGTACACTTTTGCAGAAGCATCCTGTAAGAACGTATCGATGTACTAAATACTCTGCAATAGTAATGCGTCGATCTCTCTCCCGAGTATCGCGCGTACAGTGGCAGGTCAGGCGAGTAAATTTCTCGGGCCGCTTGGTGACACGCGACCATTGGTCGTGTCAGTGGAGGGGGCACTCACTAGAAATCTGGTTGGCTGCGCTGCAACAGATCTTTTGGACCTGTTCCGGCTTTCGCAAAGTGTCGCCGGTTTTTCTCTAGATTTTGCAATACTATAGATACTGCAAGAGGGGATATGTCATTATTTTTTTTCTGGAGACCGTTTAAATGTCTTGACATTGCACTAGCACTGTCGTATCTTAACACTGACCTATTTTTGTCGTAGTTAAATGCGCAGTAAAACAAACAGCGTTTCTAATAATTTCAATAGCTGGACCTGGCATCGTGGACCCAAAAGAACGCTCCACTCCACTCCACTCCAATAGAAGTAGATATGATGGACATTACTTAACAAACCACAGTATCATAGGACACTGAGAAACTTGATGAGTAATGTCCATCATATTTACTTCTACAGAAAAAAAACAGAAACCAATTCGGGTAATTCATTTTGAATACTTTTTCATTATCCACTGAAAACATTTTTGTATCTTCGAATATTGGTTTTGAATTTTCTCAAGTATTCTTGATACCAGCGTCAACAATTCTCTAAAATTGCCCTAAAACAATAATCATGAATAATTTTACGAAATACAATCCATTAAGAACAGCTCAAGAGAAGTTGAGTGCAGTGCGTGATAGATGCCGGTTGACGACAATAAAGTAGATGGAAAAATAGAGAGTGCAAGCTGATTAAATTCAGGAAGGAGCAAGCTGAAAAAAAGGGTTGATGAAGCTGTACAGCAGAGTTTTTAATGCGAGTGGGGATCATGATGTCTGAAAATAATTAATGTGAAAACTGCTTTTCACAGCAAATTCTTAGAGTTCAGATATTATATACTAGCCACCCTTCTGCGGAATTAATTCATTGTGAACGAGTCGGTTACAGAAGAACTTAGCGGTTCTTTTCTGAATATTGTCTAGCTCGTGACTTTGGCCCATTCGGAAAGGATCCGGCATATTAAAAAACAGGGGACACAAGGGAAGTTTTTGTCAACGTTTTAACATTACGATCGGCCTTCTTCAAAGTTCGTATTACGAAATGTAGGGTCCCAATTCAAGTCACTGCTTAGAATACCTAAGTACATGCAGCTAGTGTCAATAGGAATCGAAAAACAGCTTAATTTGTAAGTTACTTTTACACTTCGCCGACACCTAGAAAAAATGTTTCGGCTTCAGTGGGTTTATTTTCATATTATTCATCCGCGTCTATTTTTCTAAGCGATTTATATCTTTTTGCAAGGTTTGAACATATTTCGTGTCCCTAACTTATCCTGACATACAGTAGTGGCTTGATTTTCGTAAGAATAACCCGGATTAAAACCATGTTGCTGGCTTTAAAAAGCCCAACTTATTCTAGAGATTTCGTAAGTACTCCGCTATTGCTCCTTTTGTTTGCATCCGACGGATATAAAACTCACGTCTAGAGTTTAAAATGCTCGCATGGTCTCTCCTCTCTTGTAAATCGGTACTATCGAAGCTTCTTTCCATTCAGACGGTATACTATTTGTGTTTTAAATGTGACATCCATTAAACGCGATAGATACGGAATCATGGCTTCATCTTCGATCTTTAGAATATCCGTGGAAATGTTCTTCCGTTTTCTCTACCTCTCATTACACTATTACACCATCACTCATATCACAGCATCCATCCAAGTCATATACAAAGCGTCCGAGCATAATCTACAAAATTCCATATTTTTCGCCTCAAATCTGTTTGGTGCAGGCTTGGTAAGTTAATTCCTTCCAAATAAATTTATGGACTTGGGATCAATGGCGGCCGTCTGGTACAACCGCCTTCTTTCCTTGGCGTATTGTGTAGAGGGGTAACGACTAAAAACCTGAAATCTTTAGAATGTTGCTGCGGTGTTCGACAGTGCGATTTTTGAAAAACACATTAATGTAAACGTAAAAGTTAGGATTTTGCGAACTTTCTCAGTTACGTTTTCTATTTATGTTAACGTTCACGTTCAACTTTCAAGAGTTGCTTGCTTTGCTTGGTAAAGCGTTGCTCTACATGGCACCACCCTTTCTCGTTTCCTTCACTTATTTCTGCTTGTGAATGCCCCTGTAAAGCAGCCCCTCACGTGCTCGGAGCTACACCCATAAAATACTCCCTGGACTGAATCTCTAGAATGAAAATCATTTGGAAAAAAAAAGGCTGTTAGAATAATATTTTTTAGGACCCAGGACCCATACACTGAAACTAGTATTTACCTTTCTGTTTATTTATTGGATAGTGACACTTTGCGGTATGCTTATAGTCAGTCGCGTAACGAAATGACGTGCGGGCCCGCCCCCAAAACTTTTATCCGAGCTCCTTAAAAGTTCACAGCAAATACAAGTAGTGCTAGTATCATCAATAATAAAATATTCTTTAACAAATTCGTATTTATCAGTCTATGATTTCTACAGAGGAAATCAATTTTTCTAATAGATTATGTTGATTTAGAAAGAGTGTTACATAAGCTACCGAAGCGGGAGAAAAATAGTTCTGGGAGATGTTGATAGTTTTATTGTAACTGTTGCGAAATGTAAAATAATCTGTTAAGAAATTGACATTTCTTACAATCGCAAAACGATCAGCATAAATAGAGATTATCTTGTACCTGGACTCGCCCACATTGCGGGCCCGAACGTTACGCCACTGGGCAGTATATTTTGACGTACGCGTATCGCAAAGACGTAACGCCCAAATAAAACAACTGGGTACTGCAAAGAAAACAAAACCATCATGGAGGTTGGTGACGAACCATCATGGCTACCGCCTGGCTTATTAGGAAGATTCCATGAATTCGTACTAAAGATAACTATTCGGAAGTCATTTGTTATTAAAAAAAAGTCCTAAACCTGGTTTAAATGTTTTAGAACGCATGACATCCGAGTTGTGCAAGATTATAATCTGTGTTTTTGCAATAATATTTTTGTGTCATAATCTTTAAAACTTTTATTTTTTTTAAATGTTGGGGGAGGAACTGGGTGTAATTCTTTACCCAGCAGTGTGATTTGTAAGAAAATTTCAAGGTCAAAACATTAGGTGTAACAACGATGTGCATAAATGCATAAGAAACACGGAAATAAATGTACAGAATCGTAGTAACTTTCAGGATATTTAAATCCGCAAGTGATGCAGATTGCTCCAGATTTTTAAGACACTTTAAACATTTTTTTGTTATTTGATTTTTTTCCCCAGTTGGATGTCGACGAGAAAATATCCAAAACTGTTTTCTTGAAAGTATTAATCATTTTCTCAGTTTTCATATATCATCAGAGGTAACCTTTCACACGAATATGACATTTGGCCCTGTATGGCAGGCGACCTTTCGAGCGCCAGTGTTCGACGGATTGCCTTCTGGCGCCATGAAATATTTTGTTTTTGACAACAGTACAAGGTGGTTCAGCCTAAAAAAGGCAATTAAATGTCTCTTGAATATCATTTAAAGCAGCATTTTGATGAATTCATTCAGCTTTGAATTCGCATTTCTAATTGAAATAATAGTTAAATAATGCTATTGTTGGGCATTCAAGATTTAAAAAGAATTTATCTCACCCCAGGCAAATGTTATAGTTGGTTTCACTAGCATTATTTTATAAAACGTTGACAAATAATATCAGAAAGTAGGTGCTTATTCAACCCCAGTATTTTCATCATTACTTATATTCAATCTGGCTTAAATGGCTTTGGATAATATTTGATGCCACTGCAGTGTCTGGGAGGTCCTACGGTTCGAGTCCCTACAGTCACAAGATTTTCGACAATAGCTAATTACCAAGCTAGGTCAAATTCAGAAAATACCAGTGGCGGCTGCTCTGATCGGTAGGTTTCTGTGTTTTCTCCAATCAACACCAAGCGAATGCCAGAGCACTACCCTATCAAGCAGGTCATGGACATTGCACAAACCTTCCTTCCTCTTCCTTGTATCCTCACCCATTACTTACACTCGTACGCCCTACACTACCACATTTGTTGGGAGACTACAGGTGGTTCCAACTGGGGCGGTGCCTCACTGGTGGGAGATACCTGGTTGAGGAAAACCTTAGCATGCCGGCATAGATTGCCGCCATTTCTTGTCAGGAAGATCACTGCCACCTCCTATGACAAAGGTGCCACACTTATGGGACTAATGAGCTTGACATGCCCAGAATTACTAATCAATCAATTATATTAAAATTCTTCAAAAGACTAGCAACAAATAGAATAAAGATAAATTATATTTAAAAAAATTAAATATTCACAGAAAAAGTAAGCATTACTACTCCTTTTTTGGAAACCATCAAAAGAATAAATAACAATTGTGTTCTCTCAACTAAGAATCAACACCACTGATTGATGGGGAAGCTGAAGAAATGTTGAAATTTCTCAAGGATGAAATAATTGAAGTCATCTTTGTCAACTTATATTTATTCAGAGAACTGGCTTTTGACAGCTTTGCCATAATCAAGTCTCTCTAAATGTGGGAAAGGTCAGGAGACACCTCATACAAGGAGGGTTGGATACACTGTCTCCTGTACTTCGCCACAAATAGTGAGTCTGACGATGACGACAATGATGGCAAAACCTACTCTCTTAATATATCTTAATTGACAAAGATGATTAGCATTGTTTCAACACATATATGAAACTTTTTATACAACATCATGCTTCTACAATTGTCTTAATTTTAACACTTAAGCACACTGTCTTTATTCTACTACAGAAAAAACAATAAAAGTTTCCAAATCCATTCTAAAGAGCTCATTAAAAATAACTCAATTTGATTGGTCTCTGTTATTATCAATGAAATTTTAGTATACTACAAATTTAATAAAAAGTGGGAATTTTAAACAATTAAGATTAATTCTCAATGTCAATGACTACAATCTGTTATCAAGAGAAAAGCAATTTTTTACCTACCAGTTCAGTCTCAAGAAGAGGAATACGATTTCATTCTAGGAATGGTAAAAGGTTTTTCAGTATCGCTTCTTCCAATATTTTGAAAATGATAGGAGGAGAATCAAATTGAAACAAATTTAACAAATCTGACATTCACATATAAATCTATTTATGAAGCATCACAAAGTACAAAAAACAAGAAAATGGAGGAAAAAATGTATATATCAATACAATTTAAGGCATCATCTTGCTTGAAATGCCCATTGTATAATACATATTCTGGGCAGGCACAAAATTATTTTTGAGTATATGTGAATGTTCACGGCTGTGACATAGCCCGAACCTCGCTGCCAGCAATTTCTAGTGCCTTTCGACCAGCCTCTGTAGACAAAAGAAAGATTCAAAACAATTAACATTTAATAAAAGGTCAGATAGTTGATATAACTAATGCATTGCCCAGAACA